AAAAGATCCAACATAGCACCCTTCTTTAAAAAGGGAGAAAAAGAGGTCAGTCAGCTTGACTTCAATGCCTGGGAAGTTACTAGAGCAAATAATAAAATAGTCAGTATGTAATAATTGAAAAAGAAAGGTCATTCTCCAGATCACTAGCAGCCAACATGGAACTTTTAAGAATGAAGCATGTCAAACAAACTTGATTTCCTTCTTTGGTAGGGTAACCAGATGAAGGGAATGTGGTAGACATTAGTAAAGCTTTCACCATGGTCTTAAATTACATTCTTATAAGCACGCTGTAGAAATATGGGCTAGGTAGACTTTTTGTTAGTTGGATATGATATGTAACTGGTTGAATAACAGCAAGAGATCACTTTTGGATGTTCTACAAAGGTCTTTTCTGGGTCCAGTGCTAGAAGGTATGCTGGATCATAAACTCAGCATGAATGAATTTGTCATAATATAAGCAAATCCAAGTTGGGGTTGCATTAATAAAAGCATTCTAAGCAGTATTCATGAGATGCTAGTACCACTCTACTCAGTGCTGGTTAGGGTTCAAATAGAGAATTATATCTAAGATTAAATGCTATAATTTTGAGAGGGATGTAAAGAAACTGAAAAGGTCTGAGGTCAGCAACAGAGATGTTATTTGGGAACCAAGCTGTATAAGGAAATGATGAAAGAATAAAGTATGGTTAGCCTGGAGAGAAGAAGGTTAAGGGGGGATTTGATAGCAATTTTCAAACATTTGAAAAGTACCATAAAGAAGATGAAGGAAATATATTTTCCCTTATTATGGAGGGCAGAACATGTGGCAGTTGATTTAACCAGCAGTAGAGCAGATTTAGATCGAATCTCAGGAGAAAACTTCCCAACTGTAAGAGCAGTAGGACAGTGGAACTAGCTACTTAGGGAAGTTGTAGAATCTCCTTAATTGGAGGTTTTCAAGAAGAGACACCAAGTCCAACAAGGCATCCCCCCTGGTGGGGCTGTGCACCTCCTGGGTTAGATGAAGGTCCTGGACTCTCTCCAAGAACCTACGTGAGCGCTCGGACCTGGCCGACTGCTCTTCCCAGCAGATGTCTGGGAAGTTCAGGTCCCCCATGACTACCACATCCTTAGCTTTTGCTACCTCGGTGAGCTGACCCAAGAATTCCTGGTCAAGCTCCTCTGTTTGGGTAGGGGGTCTATAGTAGACTCCCACCAATAGGTCCCTTTCCCCTC